CAAGGAATCATTGATAATGTCCATGTCCAGCGGTGGTCCCCAGATTTAGCTTTTTCCTCCTTTTTAATCATTTAAACCACTTCGCTCACTTCCTAGCTTCACTCTGGCAAGACTGCAGCAAATTTCACATGAGTGATAGGAGCAATATGAAAAAAAGTAAATGCTCCATTTCCTTCTCTAACGCACTGCAACTTCGAGGCCTGTCAAGTGAAGGTCAAGCAGCAAGCCTGAACAATAGTCACAGATTCCCTAAAAGGGACAGTTCTTTCCAGCAGAAAAAATAAACCACATTCTATTTTGAGGCAGTCAGTAGAATATACAGAGAGTGAGTGACCTGCCACACAAGCAAAATATGAGTGAAAAATCCCAAGAAATTACTTAGGAGATCTCTAGTTTTCCTCCATGCCCTGGAAGTGCATGCAGGAGTGACGGAGAATTATGTGTGGAAGAGAAATCATCAGCCATCCCCATGTATAGATGTACCTATAGTTTATCAACCCAACATAGACTGGTTTTCTTATGTGCAATTCACCAGGACATCTGATTTGCAAGGTTTCTGTCCAGCTGTGACCTAACAGGTAGGCTGCCTTAGAATGACTGGTTTGCAGGAAGTACCTGATAGAAGTGTTTTTCAGTCATACCAAAAAGCTCCAGTTATGGTGATGTGTAAGGAGGAACTGGGGTCCCTTCTTCTTCTTTTTCTTCTCAAGCTAATTCAGAAAAAACCCAGAATCATTCTACAGGGTACCAAAGCTTGCTTGCTTTCCAAAACCAAGCAAACAAACAAACACACCCACATATAAAAGGAGAACTAATTAAGATCAAGTCATATCTTAATAAATATGCAAATTAAAAATCAAAACAAAGAAATTCTATTTATCACATCATAAAGTTGCAAATTGCTGTTGTGGCTCCCATCGGTTGGAATAGATGAGGACTACAAGGCTGTAGGTTTTGAATTAGTAGATCAACCAACGTGCGTACGTGTTTTATTGTGATAGCTGGGGGATGTTGGCTGTAGATATATTACCATCCTTCCCTCCCCATCTTCTGTACTGCGTTCACGTTCAGTGGTATTCATAGACTGTATTTGTCTTGGAGTTCTCTAATGTAATGTCATTGGTTTTCCTCATTGTTTACCTTCAGTAAGACAACATCATTATTCTTTGGAAAATCTGTTTCATGTCCCTTAGGGTTTTTCTTTTTCTTTTTTTTTTGTTTTGGGTTTTTTTGAGGGGAAAATTCTTTTGTAGCTTTTAAAAATCAAATTAAAGAAAACCAAACAAACCAGAAATACCAAGAACTTTCCCCTAACAACCCTCCCCCCCCCCCCC